CGTCGAGTCATAGGTAGCACCACTATGTTTAAAGCAACAATTTATAAATCATTTCTTTGAATCTGCGTTATCTTTTAGAGGAAGAACGAAGAATAATAAAAACAATTACGTATTATATAAAAAACTTACTTTTTACTCAAAAGTGCTGTTGTTTCGGACATTTTTCTTAACAAAAATGACGCTCACATAGGGAGCGTAGGCTACGCAAATAATAATTGCTATCTTATCTAAGAACAGCCGACATGCCCAGATACACAAGTCTACCAGGCCTTTCACCTAGTGGTTTTGATTTGAGAAATTGACCAGGAATTTGTTTACTCATCTTCCGCCTAGAACTAGCAGTTTGAAAATGTTTGTTTGACTATGCTGTTAGGATATCTATACAAACAGACCCTATCCTTCATTTTCGCTTCTGCCTATCATTCACGGCTTGACTTCAATGGGAGTTTGATCCTTTGCTCGTGCAAAAAAGCCCAGTAAAACTCCAGAAAGAAAAAAACTTTATAAGAGATTTGATTTATCAATCAAAACAGTATATTTTTAATCGTAAATGTAATATATTTTAAAAAATCTGAAACTGCTCTCATTCCTTTTTTTTCTTAATTACCACACTTTTACAAGTGTTCCTTTGAACGATCGCATTTCCTTTAATCAACATCCACCTCCCTAAAATACCGCATCCAATACACAAAATTACTTTTGTATTAATCCCATCTTAGCTGTTTTATGGGTTATGCAGCGAACACGTGCATTCCTCTAAACACACAACTTCTTTTCGTCTTCGTTTTTCCTAAAACAATCAAGTAATGTCCTTTACCATACTTACAACTCAAAGCTAACAAGATTGCCTTACCTCTTGAAGAATAATATGAAGTTAGACTTAGCATTATAAAGAGATTTGATTATAAATATTCAGCATGCCCAAAAAAATATGCTTAGGTTTGATCGTTAACAACTCTTCTAATTCCAATTCTTTTCTCGATCCTAATGATTTGGAAGAGCTAGCTTGAACTCATATTTCCATTATTGGGCAGCTTTTATAACCATGGCGGCTAAGCCAGAATTGCGGTATAAGGCTTTCGGTGGCATTCTTGCTGCTAAGTACTTATCAAATTTCACTTAAAAATTCAATAGCGCTTAACATATTTGGACCTAACGCTAATGCTACAACCGTAGAAGAGTAGTTTTCAGCGTTTTAAACTATCTTCGTGCTAATACCAATAGTGCTTTACGCCGATCAGCAACCTAAGAGTTCGCACCGTAATTCTACCGCAAGGTCGGAGGTATTTAAACTAACCCCTCTTCTCTCTCATCTCTCGTTCATAATATGATGTAAATTGGTGCCCTTAAAGATTTTGATAATGCTTTTACCATGTTTGATTTTACTCTCATAGTATCATAAATCAATCAATTAAGTCA